AATTATCCCCATTAAAATCATAATATATTAGAACTCAACATTTTCTTTAACCGAATCTTTATCAGCCGTATTTGCTGACTTCGGTATTGCTTAAACACATGTGGAAATCAAATGAATGCAGCTTTGTCTGCAATAGTGGCGTCCCACTGCACGTGCGCTCTGCACTAACGCCCTTCCAACATGAAGACCTGAACACCTTAGTCCTGAGAAGGAAGACAGACAAGGTCTGCGTTAAATAACTAAAAAAGTTGTGACCTCCCACAGGAAACGATGCCAGGCACCTCTAGAAGAGATTGATTGATTGATGAAGATTAAGCCACCTCAGATGTTGTTGTTGTTATAGATTCAGCTACTCGGAACAAGTTCCAAGTAGCACGGGCTATGGTGAGCCCGTAACTTACCTGGCACAGGAGCGGGGCAAATATGCTTGATGCCACCTCAGAGAAGGCACGGACATGAATAGCCCGTAAGAGAAGAGATGTGTTAGTAATCTGAGTGACCCAAGTTTGAGTGGGAAATGGTGTAAATCTTGTTCTTCAATTATTTCCTAGATTATTTATCGTCATTCTTATATTTTTATTCAGCTCTCGTGTAAATAATTTCATAATTAAGTATATATTAATTTCATTATAATTTAAATTTACTATGAGCAAGTGACCTATGTTAATGAATATTGATATCATTGGCTAGTGATAGTGTGGTTTTATCCGTCTTGGTAAAGGTACTTTTTATACAGGTGTGCGTTTATGTTCTATTTAGTTGCAACCTGTCCTCTTAAAAAGAACGTCGCTTTTGGTCGTTTGCCCGTATGGCCGAATATGGACGTAATTTGAAAACGAAAAAAAAATTAAAATAAATTTGGGATTTTTTTTCAACAACAGTAAGTTAAGGGTCCTCTGTTAATGGAAAGTTTCCTCTCCTAACCTTACCGAGTAAGCCGGACGACTCAAACAGAAAACGGAACAGTACATCACTTTTGTGAGTCGATTTCATTTCAAATTACGTCCAAATTTGGCCAAAGCGCGCATACCAGCGAAAAGTGACGTTATTTTTAAGAGAACGGGTTGCCACAACAGATATTCCGTGAGAGATTATGTAGTACAATGGTCGACATTCTAGGGCTCAGAATCGAGGTATTCGGGTTCAGTCCCCGAGCAGATCAGAAACAGTTAGGTAAGTTTCCTTTCATCTAATATACCTGTTCACCTAGCTGTAAATAGGTGTCCTGGAGTTAAGCACCTGTTGTGGGTTGCATCCTGGGAAAGGCCAGTAGTTGGCCTAGGAGAACCTCGATAAGCCTAAAGATAGACCTCTTGTCCCTGGCAAAATGAATTATAATTATTAATTTCTTAAAAATACAAGGTTAAAATATGAAAGATCTTATGTCTTCGTAAGTTTGGTTATTAGTTGTAAAATAGAGCCCAGTAAGATATTTTATATGCTGTAGCATACTCCAAGATCACGGATGTCAGGTAGGACCCAAGAATGCATTAGGCATTTCCACTCTTGAATACCATAATGAGGCTCTGGAAAAGGACGCTATTAGCCTTTGGGTATCTTAGTGTTTCAGTGAGCCTGAACCTTAATTCCTTGAGAAAATCCTCAAGGAATTAAGGTGGTGGTTCAGATCCCTATACTGTCCTTATTTCACTTGGCAATTTACCTGTGGGCGGCATCACCAATTTTCTTATGGGTGGCAGCACCAGTTTACCTGTGGGCGGCATCACCAATTTTCTTATGGGTGGCAGCACCAGTTTACCTGTGGGCGGTAGCTCCAATTTACCTGTGGGATGCCTGACCTGTCCTGAAGCTAATGTATCAAAGAGGATATGCACGTATAGTCCCACGCCAGTTGCCTATCGTTCTTCCATGCATGCAGTGGAAAGGCGCCTCTTGATATTGTCGACTTCGTTGTGTTCTGCGTGCCATCCCTTAGTCCGCAATTCAGACTGTAGAGCCTGTTTTCATCGTTGGTGTGATACATTACAGAGGTGCATACTTGTTACAGACATGTAAATGGCAAAAAGGGAAATCCCGTACATGGGGAGCACAAACAGCTGGGAGATGAGCATAATCAAATTAGGTTATCGCCTCCTGCCCGAAATGCTGCGCGTACTAGTGGCTTTACAAGAATGTAAATACCATGCTATGTATCCTCACAAACCCAATGTACCTTCTTGTATATAAATAAATATATAGGTATGGACAACCTCGAGCAACGTTGCAACTCCTTTCTCCACAATGGGGATGTCTGGGCAGGATTTCATGGTGTCTCTTGATGGGACCTGTCGGGGTGCTAGGAATACAAGTGTGTTCCATTCAGTGATTCACTGTATGAAGTTTAGATCACAGAACTAATCACATTAGGTACTTGAAAACGAATACAGTATCTCGAACACTTATACTGTACATCTGATGATATGTAGAGGCAAAATTATATAGAGGTTATATATATATATATATATATATATATATATATATATATATATATATATATATATATATATATATATATATATATATATATATATATATATATATATATATATATATAAAATATGCAGAAAAATCCACAGTGAAATGGAAAAGAATGAAAGAAAGAAAACATATAGCTTCAATTTATCTGAACCACTGCATTCCATTGTATATATTTAAAAAATGAGCCATATTTAATTTTGAAAATACAATTGAGATAGGGCTCCTCCCTTACTACAATTTTATTTTATAAAATAAAGTATATAGTTAGATTAAAAGTTACTGAGTTCAGGACCAGACTTATAAGGACTTTAGTGAACAGTGAGTCAGCATAGTCTTAACATTTTAGCATTATGTAGGTCAAGAAGACAGAGGGGGTGTTGAAGGTAGGGGTGGGGGGGTGGGGGGCATGTCTGCCTTGCCCTAGTCTGCTCTATTTGATGGTAGCTACCCCCCCCCCCACACACACCCTCTCTCTTCTAAATTTTTCCTCTCTTTCTCTCTTTTCTCAATTCTTCCTCTCTCTTTCTCTCTTTTCTCAATTCTTCCTCTCTCTCTCTTTCTCTCTTTTCAATTCTCTCCCTATCTCTCTCGTTTTTATTATGTATTTATATGTTCCTTTGCCCAGTTCCCAGATTTAATGAAATAGTTAGCCATGTACTCCAAACTCGCCAGGGTTATGTACACTGAAAAGTGTGAAGATACTACATGAAGAAGTGTGATGGTATTAGTGATACTACAGTGATTCTAACACCCTGAAGTGAAAATGATTACAGTGGTGAAGACCGTCTTGTGAAGGTTGCATTGATGCTGACAATGTGAAGATGGTTAAAGTGGTGAAAATAGCGTACAGTGAAGATGGTTACAGTGATGAAGATAGTATGTAGTGAAAATAGTTTCAGCGATGAAGGTCGTGTGAAAGTATTTTGTATCCCGATGTAGCCATTTGTCATCAAATAGCCACTATTCTGTGACAATGTTGCAAATTGTTACAATTGTTTGCTGAAGGGGAGGGTTGGTGCAGAATTGGCCCCAATCTGTTTTTCTTCACCTTAGAAAGTTTATAAATTATTGGTCATGGAGTGCGGAAAATGGTTATATAAAGGTTAGAGATCATATGCAATAATAATACTCATCTATATATTTTCCAGATTTAACCTATGCTCCAGAAAGACTTAGTGTTATCTTGTTGGCAAACATAAAATATAATATCAAAACGTTTTACCTGTTTATAAAAATTGTTTCGCTTTTTGTTAAAAAGAAATAATAACAGTATACCTAGCAGCATTTAATATATACATATATTTTTATAATTTGCCTTCGATAATTTGGAGACTAGGCTTCACAAAGGTTCTCCAATATACAAATATTCTTCTGTTTCGAGAATAGTATTTTTAACTCTGTGCACTATAGTACAAGGATTGACGTATTAAGCAATTAGATCGTAGAATTTGGTATTATTCACTTCATAAGAGTTAAGCTAAAAAATAAACTTAAATATTCCTAGGCCTAATATAGCACACACATATGTACTATATTAGGCCTCGGATATTTTTTTTTCTACCATAGACGTGGCCACACATTTACAATGCTAACTAGCATATATACAATTTCTTCTGTCCTCCATGGACAGGGTGAAAGATTTGTGAAACATACAGTTCAGGGATTTATTGAACAACCACAGAAGGTGATCGTAGTGCTTTTAAAATATTAAGCTAAGCTACATACGTAAATACATAGATATCGTGTTAGGTTTGGTTAGTTTAGTTTGTCTTTGTAACATAGAAAATCTTTTCCGGTTTGTCCAAATTCAACAGTACTGATTTCTACTTTCTCATTGCGTTGTACGTCGGTATAAGTACTAAGGTCCTCATCGTTACTATAAGTACTACCAAAATAGGAGGATAGGCTGCAATATATTAATTCCCTAATGGAACAATAATGTGAAGCTGTCGTTTAAAATTTTTACTGTTTTTTTTTTTCATTTAGAAAGAATATTTGTCCAGTTAGCAGTAAATATTGACATATGTTATAAGGGTGGCTTATATTATGCAGTCTGATTTTAGTTATGCCCGTTTAACCTCTCTGATAGCTGTTGTAATCAGATGTGATTGTTTATTACTAAATTGAGTCAGATGTGCTATGTTCAGTGTAACGGTATGAGATCAGGTGTGAATAATATTATTAATATTAATGAGAAAATCCATAGGAACAGTGATGAGGGTTCGAATCTATGCGGTGGGTGTTCCCTCGCACACGCGTGGGTTTGTGTGATTGGAACAGGATTGTGAAAATCCTGTTCCGGCTTCAGTAGAAGCCTCAGGAAATCCTGGTGGGTTCAGTAGAACTCCAGGTTACAATCCTTATACCATGTCGTGGTCTAGTCACTAGAGCGTGTGCGTGGGAACATCCACCGCCTGGGTTCGAACCCTCATCACGGCTCGTATGGATTTTCTCACTGATGCAGTCACGTTAGTGTGATTAAACTGTGTATTAATATTAATACAGTATTATTAAATAATAAAAATATAAATAAACGTTTATTTTAGGCTGATGTTAATAAGAGTACCTGTATACATGGTTTAAATAAGTCAAGTTACAAAATACAGGATAATACTGGCACATTAATACTGTTAAAAATTGTTGTTTATGGACCATTCCAACTTCACACAAACGCGCACACACACACTACCAAGAGAGGAGTATTTAACACGTTACATTTGAAAATACATGTGACTTAAAAGGCGAAGAAATTGGGGCACGTGTAGCATATCTGCCACTTCCTATATATTAGAGGGAGTAGACAGGCCTGTCTCACTCCCATTGTGGGATGCTGCTGCGCTCCGTTGGGAGGCAAACTTGAATTAATAATGTTACATGCTAACTCATCTGATAGGCCTAATAATCGATTGCCTTTATAGTATATAATTTGTACATATGGTCTCCCGCTCCTTTACTCCTGAGTGGTCGTTTCTACGGCTGGTGTTGGGAAAGACTCGCACTTAGGGGCAGGTCTTTGGACCTCGATGAAATAGTCTGCCGATGAACAATTATCTGTGATTGATTACATAATTTACTCACACAGGTTGGCGTGACTGAAGGCCCTGGGTGCTGTACAGATGTTCCTGAGTTCCTTAGGTAAGGCGAGTTGTTGTTATGTGTAGCGAGGCAAAACCAGCCTGACTGGTGCAGCATTTATTGACGAGATCTGGCGAACTTGGTTCTTTGACTTGTTTCGTCAGCTGGGTAGATATTACATTTTCCTGTACTTCTTGAAGAGAATTAGTTTACCTAATATTGACATGATGCCTGGTAGATTGTTCCATTGTTACTCTTGTGTTGAGCGCTGCCTAGCCGCTCCAGTCTTGCTTGATCATGTCACTGGCCTTCTCAGCAATCATGATGGTGGGAGCGTTGGTGTTGCCGTTGGTGACGAAGGGCATGATGGCGGCGCCCACCACCCGCAGCCCAAACACGCCGCGAACCCTGCCCAGTCAGACGTAAACACATATAATAATGAAGTTTTTACACATGATACAAAATGCTAAACCAGTTAAGTTCCGCCATAAATAACTTTAAAATCTGACCAAACTATATTACTATTAGTAAATAACGTTAGAATTACCGTATAGACAACTGCAGAAGGCCTTTTGGCCCATGCCAGGTAGCTCATGTTTATATCCACCAAAACTCATTTAATCTGTGGAATAATAAGGCAGGCATTCGTAATCCATGTCATTTGAGAACTAAGCTGTATGTGAAGAGGGAAGGGAAGATGTTATTGTGACTACGTGCAGTGTGAACTATGAGACTAATATGAAGTGTAATGCTGGATATGCAGGCCACTGGTAAGTAGTTGTGGAATTGTATTATCAAATCACAGCATTTTAAAGTAATGTCCTAGGCATACTGTTTAAGTAGTTACACACACTAAAATTCTGGAATATACTTAAAATATATAACTTTTTACTTCAAACATACTAGTTTTATGTAGGAATTCGATTCAAAGTCGGTTTGTATGTCTTGTATTGCAAATAATTTAGTGACATTGGCTTCTGTCATAAGAGATAGCACTATTAAGGTGTTACCTCTGCATTCTTTTCTTACCTCTCAGTATTTCTCATAGATTTTATCCTCATTTGGACTACACATACCCCCCTTCGTTACACCCTAAGCTCCAGTCAACATATTTGTCCATTTTCACTATCTCTTCCAGTCTGACCCATTCATGCTCTCAGGCTTCATGCATGTGTCAGTGTTTTTATTCCCTCTTATTTACTTGTGTACAAGAAGGTAGATTTGGTGATTAATTGGTACATTCGCGCAAAGCCACTAGCACGCATAGCATTTCGGGCAGAATTGGACATACCTGAGTCTATGATCCACCACACTATAAGGGTCTGAGGCTGGGGCCATCTTGCAGCCTCCAGCAAGATGGTAGAAGGTTGTAGACATATGACGAACATAACAAACCCAGTAGGCGTCTGAGCCGTATATCTCCCCAGTGCATCCAGGGAGAGGCTATGAAGGAACGGAGATAGTTAGCTTACTCCAGATTAACTTATCTTACTAATTCACATATTTTGATATTATATATATGGACACAAGTATTATAAATGTTAATACCAATACAAATTTATAGAATCTGTCTTCAATGCTATTCCTTCTGAGAATTTGGACAAGAATTTGAATTTTGTGACGAATTGTATCGTCAAGAAAATTCTTAATTGAATAAATATTGAGTCCAAATTACACGCATGAAATTTGTACCGAAACAGCATAGAAGACATCGTTTTACCTTATCATAGAACTCTGCTCCAAAGTTGTTGACGAAGGCAGAGGTGTTGCCAAGCGCCAAGGCAAACTTTACCCCTTTTGGGAAGTAACAAACTCTTGTAAGTGAAATGCTCTTATAAAATATTTGTTCTTATGGTAATCCATATTTCAATAATACATTGTCATGTATTGCAGTAACAAATGTATTTTATCTCTAGCTATTAATAAATATTGGTGACTATAGAAAATGACCTTGGAAGTTTAACAAGCTATAAACCAAAAATAGTATTTATAAATAATAAAAGATACGTGGTAATGGATAGGTCTAGGAAAGGTTAGGTTTAGTTGTTGCTAAATTTATCCGGCCCTTTTCAAAATCAATAGTACAAAACGTGAACTTTTTGGGGAGTATATTAGTTTGTACATTTAACCCAGTCAGTATACTATAATTTTTGGAGTATATGTTGGATAATTATTCATTTTTTTATTATTTGCATATATGCAAAAGAGGTACAGTGAGTTGTGAGTGTATATATGTTGGTGATTAAATGGTACATTCTTGCAAAGCCACTAACTAACAAGTATAGCATTTCGGGCAGGTCTTAAAATTAAAAGAATTAGCAAGGAATTTTACATTACAAAGTGAAACAGACGATCTTATAACAAAAATGTATGTAGTGACAGGTATATAATGACAGAATTTGGATTCACATAATTACTATATTAATATAAAGTGGTGATAATAAGAAATGATATTGATTTATTTGTATTTCTAGCTAGTAAATTACTGGGTGAGTTGGTAGCTCCAGATGGTATTACTATTGTAACGAAATTAGGTATTTCGTTGTTTTACTTTTGAATACAGTATTGGTTTATTTTTTCATTAGAGTTCCATATATTGGGTCGTGTTTACATAGGCTTAGTTTGACTGGGAATATGAGATTTTTATTATATAATGTTCAAGGATCCTATTACATCCATCTAGGAAGAGTTTCATAAGATTAGAATAGAGGAATAATTATTTGTAAACGTAAATAACACCAGAAAATGTGTGGATTGAGTGTATCAGTTCAACATATTCAGCGAATTGAACAAATGGACTTGTGTGTTTTCTGAAGACAGAGTTTAATTATAGTTCTTGGATACAGATATTCATGGAGATGGAAACAACAGCTGGAGCTGCAGAATCTGTGGCGAGAGTGACAGACACTGCCTTGACCTGCCCAGTAAACTTGCCCCTAGGGGCAAAATTTAAATTTAATGAAAGTAGTGTTTCAATAAATCCACAAGTATAGGTTCAAGAAGGTTAGAAACTTTTTGCAATTGATTGTATGTAAGAAATAGGATAGGTCCTAAAATGCCGTCTTGTGGCACTCTAGTAGTTAATGGGAGACTGAGAAAGGTTATGTCATTGATGACTATGCCTTATGTTGTTCAAGATATGATGAAGTATAGCTCAGAGTAAGGCCTCGAAATATATTGACTAGTCAACTACCGTATTGTATTATTGGTGATATTTTAGTGAAAGAAATCAGTTTACTTACCTTCGACTAGGGTTCGGACGTCATCTGGATGGGAAAGCAGCTGAGGGTCAATATCTGGGTGTTCATAAACGTCTGCGGACCTGAGGGTGATGGTGCCTCGACTCTTGGGCAGGACAATCATTGGTCTGATGCAGAACCCATCTCGTCCGTATATCTCCCCCAAGTACTCGTGATACATCTGTCAGGACACAGTGTGCTACTCTGGAAACTTCTTTCGTTTACTTTATTCATCTAAATTTATTTTAGATGAACTTTATTCATCTAAAATAAAGCTAATCAATCACAAAAATATACACGTTTTCTGCCAGAGAAACTGGACCACAGTCAAACAAACCTTTGAGAAGCGTGTGTGGTCCTGAGATGATAGAAGCGAATGTGATGTTATTAAGATGATAAAAGCGTATGTGATGTTGTTAAGATGATGGAAGCGTATGTGATGTTATTAAGATGATAGCAGCGTATGTGGTGTTAAGATGATAGAAGCGTGTGGTGTTAAGAGGATAGAAACGTATGTGATATGAGGATAGAAGCGTGTAATGGAAGGATATGAATTGCAAACATGGGTGACTTGTAAGACTGAAGTGTGTGTGCCGACATGGCTTGGTCTTACTGAACGAATGGATGGTAATTGTGGTGAAGGGAGTGTATTCTAATGAATTTTAGGGTGGGGGAAGGCCAAGAAGAAAGGGGGCCATGATGAGTGTGTGAGGAAGCAGAGAGTAAACAGGGCGCGAGAAGTGATTAGGGACAAGGCAAGGTCAAAGTCATTTGCTTTGAGGAAATATCTATGTGTATGGCAGGTTTTGACTGTAAGGAATGGTAATTATGAAGAGAAAGCGCTTAGCCAGCATGAGAGAGATTTGAGGACAATGAACAGTGCTCAGTCACTTGGGACATCGGGGATAGAGCGCAGTCCTTGCAGACCTTAGAGCGCTTTACACCTTTGTCGCATGGAGTGGTAGTGTCGTTATAAAGTGTTCTCTAGGTCGTGGTTTTCTGTTATGGTATTTAGTATGGAATATAGTATGGAATGAAATAGTATGTGAATGGATCTGGCTTTTCTTTTTATCCTCTGCTCTTTTCCTATCTTCTATGTACAAATACCCTCTCCATGAAAGTTGGAAGCGGAGTATTAATGATAATGACTAATTGTATTATGTATTTACAGAACAGGATATGAATATAGGCACTGGGTTGTAACAAATAAGCCTACACGATACAGTATTAGACTTGAGGAAAAACTTGACTAACCTTCGTATCAAATCCCCACAAGGCAGGATTCAGAGTGCCTTTGTCATAGGCAATAGTTGCACCAATGAAAAGCAGTTGAACGTCTGGCCATAATGGATCACCCTCCGGCGACACCTTAACCCAAGCATTTTGGAAATTTAAAGGTGGTGCAGCCACGGGTCCTAGTGAATAGGAAAATATAAGCAGTCAAAACGATCGTTTATATCACGACATGAGCGTGATTTAGTGGCACATTGGTGAACATGCCGAACATGGTCACATGGAGATGCATGATACACCGACCACTTGGTCACCTCATGGAGATGCCTCCCCCATTAACTATCATATATGAACATCATCTCGGATACTTTCTTTCCACCCTCCTGTATTTCATCTCTATTTCGAACTCAATTTAACCCTCCGTGATACAATAGGTTGAATAGACTGTTGAGGTTGACTGAGTGGCTAATCTTTCAAGGTAAATTAAGCATACTAATCTAAACAATTCAGTTCCTTACGGTTGTTGGTAATCTGTAGTGTATCGGTTGAATTTCACACTCCATCAATACTCCTATTTATTACAGCATATTGCAGTTAAATCATATTTACCACATTTCTCATTATCACTTCTTTTCAGTCTCGTGTCTCATAAACCCGGTACATAAATTACGTTCGCTAAACCAACCACTGCTGCAACAAAGTAGAGCAATAGTTGCATCTAATCACCTATACTGAATCATAACATCTCTCTGGGCCATGGTACTCCTTCATGCACTCTTGGGCCCCCTTTCCCTCCTTCCCTAGCCTCATAAACACTCAGAATTATTGAATTCACAATTGTATCGTAAACATCTTTAGAAACCTTCGTGTTTTTTGAATGAGGTTAAAGTCCTCACTTTAAGAATCAGACATAACATTAAAGAAGAATGCATAATATAGACACTAACCTTCTCTAGTGGTCTTGTACTGCACGAAAGAAACGGGGTTGAATGTCTCAATTAAGCCCAATGCAGAGGTGCCCTTCACCCCCAGCCAGCTGAGCCCTAAAACTTCCACGTGATCGTGAACATTCTGGCCAACACCTGGTACGTCTGCCACCACCTTCAGCTGTAAACATTACAAACATTAGAGACAAGCTGGTTGTTGTGTTATCTGGTTAAGAACACTGCTGTTAAGCTGATGATCTTCTCAGGATTGATGAGGTTAGTTTGGCAGTCACAACCTTATCACTGTAGAATACAGTTTTCGTTATTACAAAAATAGGGTTTACAACTTAAAACCTTTTGTAATTACTTTTTTTTTGTTAACAAGTATTATTCTGTTCATGAGGGCTTACTAAACAGTGACTACGAGGAAGTGAGGCCCGCATACTAACTAGCCTTGTTCCTCGTACATTTTATTGGAATTTTCTTGACATTCTAGTTTTTGTCGAGTCTGGCTTGGAAGTTGTGGATGAAGGTGGTCTGTTTGATTAGGTGTTGAGTGTCTTGTTCCTGTTTGACAGGACAGGAAGCCTTTGGCTTATCGAAATCCCTCACACACTTCCATGTATTTTTGTAAATATATTATTATTGCGTTTCTTCGGTTCATTTGCATTTCCCGTTTCCTGTACCCATGTCCTCTCTTCCTACTTTCTCCCAATTCAAGAAGGTTATTCCAGTTCATTTTGCCTATTTCAATCGGTATATTGTATGTATTATGATTTTGATTGTTGCCGCCGGAGGCGGTTAGTTTATTGTGCACCCCATACTCATCCGTGCTTGTATGTAGTAATCATTTACCCTGTATTGATTTAGAATTGTAAGATTGATGTCTTGTTGCAGACCTCTACACTGTTGCATAATGGTCCGCATCCTCGGCTCACAACCGGGACCCGGGTTTAATCCCCGATTAGGACGAGTTTTTTCTCCTAATGTCGCTGTTCACCTGGCAGTAAATAAGTACCCAGGAGTTAGACACCTGTTGTCGCTGTTCACCTACCAGTAAATAAGTACCCAGAAGTTAGACACCTGTTGTGGGTTGCATCCTGGGGAAGACTATTTGTTGGCTTGGGGGTGAAGGGACGTCGATAAACGTAACGGGCTTCCTATCCTAAGCAGTAGTGGGAAGAACATCAGATAAAATAAGAGTTCCCGTTGTCGAGAACACACATTACGGGCTATTCATGCCCGTGCCACCTCTTGTGTGTGGCTTAATCTTTATCAATCGATCACAACACACACCTCGTACTCTCACCATATATACAACACAACATTTGATTTCTTATTTTCGTCAGATTACGTTGGTTTACAGCGTGGCGATGACGTAGAGGAAGCCTTACTTTTCTCATGTCCTAGACCCTACTCCAGCTACTGACTTCTCCAGAATGCAATCCTTGGTAGCCTAACTCTCGGGCACCTGTTGTGGGAACCGACCTGTGAGATTTATATTTATTTGATTTATATGAATTTATATTTACGTTAATTTATATACTTCGATAGCAATTTGTATAATGATAAGTGGACTGTATTTCTGCAATAATCTCTTAATCTCACAAATCGATCCTCTACACATTAGGGGGGGTTTATATTACACATATGCAGCCAATCAAATTACAGTAATAGCTACATACATTGATGAGGTTCCTTCTCTTATAGTACAGCAGGTTAGTCCACCAGGTATAACTAGGGTGTAGACACCAAATTATCCTCTTTGAGGTAGCTTCTATCACCCAGTAACTGGTGCACATAATCTTGCATCCTCGTCTTGACCTGTCAAAAGTGCGCTAGCTGTGAAGCCAGAATCCTATATATGACAAGCTATATCAGAGAAAACACTATACAGTACATGGAACATTGAGACCTGGCTTAATTACCTTTAGTTTGAGGCGATTTCGCGATCTAACCGGGTCACCCTATATCCTGACATTAATGGCCATAAATGAATGATAAACGGGTTTCGGATAGACTTAACTTGAATTGTAGACATCGTGTTGGAGATGGTACCTTTGGTTTCCATAACACTACGTCCAAGTAAAATTAACAGGAGCCGAATTTGCTCCCGTGTGAGCCTCTGGTCTCAATAAACAACAATGGCTGCCCTCCTCCTCACTCTGACGCCTGGCTTACATTGTCCACATTTCAGAAAGTGATAGAAGGGTCACATTTACTCTACTTTAATATTGATAATTAAGTTAATTTATATAAGATGTTTTTATGATGGTAAAGTCCAAAGACTAATGTATTTAAGAACAATTCCCACCATAATAGGTGGTGAATTATAATAGTATGTGGTGATGATATCCCGTTTTCTTTAGATGGTAATTCCACTACAAGTACGTTTTCTATGGGTAACTTGTTTATACAACACAGCTATTATCTGTATGATATATTAAATGGTGTCGGATTTTCCGACATAATTCCCCAGGGGCTGCTCACGGGTCGAAGTCCTAATTAGAACAGACGAACACCGATACTCCTCCTTCGAATTATTAGATTAATTTGATGTTAGTAGTTAGTAATCACACATTTGTGTGTCTGTTCGTACAGGACGGATGTCCCGTACTAGAGTTGCAGGGGTTAGAAGTCTAATGCAATTTCATTTCCCTGTCAACTCTTGAAAGGCTAATATTCAAGCCTTATTACATATTATTTAACCCAGAAGACTGAATGTGATCAAGTACTACAGTCAAGTATGATTCAGGGACTGCAGTGAGATCAGTGACATTAGATATAACTTGAAGTTTCTTCAGGTAACTGGTCACTGATATATAAACACTGAGGCCCATGGAATACATCTTGATTAAATAATAAATGTATCAAATCAGTCATCAGATTTATTGGGGTTTAATTTAGTTAATTGATTCAGAAGATTGAATAGCTCATCATTAAAGTAAAGTATGGTTCTGAGACTGCAGTGGGTTCAGTGACATTGGTCGCAGTGACTTGTAGCTGCTTAAGCTACTGTTCACTGATTTGCCACTGAGGCCTCATGAACTCATCTTCAGCTTCAAATGATGATACTAACATCAACCTCTGTTGGTATAGTCAGCTGTAATCTCCTTAGTATAATGCTACTGGAGAAATATAATCAGCTGACAAATTTAGATTTCTACTGGTATTGTTTATCTGCAGTCATAGGTCTCCTCAGGCTTGATACTGGGCCTGAGAGTAATTTACCTCCTGCAGAATTTAACATGGTTATACCCTGATATTTAGTAGGGCTACCGATGAATCGATGGCAATAGTCTGTCCCAACAAGGAGACCGAAGTCAGTGAGGTGATCAGACTTAATATTATCTGCCAATTTTATTCCTCTATTTCTCAGGAATTTGGCTGTTGCTCTCAGACCTTGAACTTGTAGGTCTACTGGTATTTTGTCCACCACAATGGCTTGTACTCGACAGACGTACCTGCCTAAACGTACTGATGGTTGTACCACCTGGTAGACTTGAGGTCCTGCATCTGTTACAAACCCTGAGATGTTGAATGACATCTGGGCTACAGGCCTTAATTGTAATTCATCTGCCAGCTTTTTAGTAATATATGTTCTCTGGGATCCTTGGTCAAACAACCCACGGGTATGGACCTTGGCCCTCTTATTCAGGATGGTAATTTGGGCAGTAGGCAAAGTCGTATTACCTTTAGACTTTGCCGATTGGACACTCTTTGTTTGTTGCACCTTGCAGTACTGTACTGTGGTGGGAATGCTATCTTCCACCTTGGGGTTTGGAGACGTTGTTTTGGTGTCTCTGCACAATGCTGCATGGTGCTGACCTTTGTTACACCTATTACAGGTGTGTAATTGGGTATCACAGTCCTTGATGTTATGTTTCCTGAGGCACCTCGTGCAATGTTGCAAATCCTTGAGTCGCTCAACACGGGCGTCACTATCAGGAAAATTAGAGCAGTGGTACATTGAATGTTTCTCATTGCAGAACAAACATGTTCCATAGCTTCCAGTACCCTTTGGTGTCACGTTCTTGGGTGACACAGTAACTATAGGCTTGGAGGGTCCCACTGCATATACGCCCACACTGCTACTGTTCCACTTTGGTGTTGAATTATATTGTCTAGATTGATTTGGAGTACCTTTGGTACTCTGTGGTTTACTATTATTGGTTTCTGAGGGTTTACTTGGTGGTTTTAATTTGTCATGTGTTCGTAATTGATGAACTACTGACTTTAAACCTTCAGATATTTCATTCATGGATAAGATACTTTTATTGTAATGAGCACTCATTTGTCTCAATATGTCCCTAGGTATTTTCTCCTGGACAATTATTTTCAAGACCCACTCAGCCCCGTTTGTATCTGCTGTCAGGCTGAGGGCATTGATCAATGATTCTACCTCCAGCTTGAAGACTTGGAGTGAATCAGCTGAAGCCTCCGGTGGGGGTAAATGCAACAGCTCATGAACTAAATGTGATGTTCTTACTTCTGGATCAGCATAATTATCCTTGAGGAGTTTTACTGCCAGATCATAGCCGTCATTAGTTAATCTCAGATGGGATACTACTGTTTTAGCCTCACCTGATAATTGGCCTTGCAAATAAGAGAATTTACTACTCTTTGGTAAAGATTGTTTTGAGTCTACAAGGTCAACGAATTTGTTCCAAAATTCGTCCCAATCTTCCTCATCTTTCCCTGAGAAAGTGGGTAAATTAATTGGAGGGAGTCGAGCTTCCGCTTGACTCGTATTAGATGCAACTGTTGTTGTTGTTGCTGTTGCCTTGTTCTGGGCAATTAATTTGACATAAGGCTGTAACGTGGCCTGAGTGTGATCTTCATAATTCGCAAGATCAACCATAATGTCGTCTATTTCTGTTTCTGATAAATTAGTGTTGGCAAGTTCAGCCACATATGTTGCTATTTGACATTTGATTTGCTCAAATTTACCTGCAGCTGCTTGATAATAGCTTTCCAGGTCAGCATAATCAACTGTTGATTGTTGTGACAAATCTTCACATTTCTTGATCTGTCTTGTTAAGTGGCCTTTAAGACCTGCAAGGGTTCTTTTCATTCTCCCTGCATTATCCATCCTGGCTAGTTGGTGAAGCCTTGTGGGGCTTGTATTTGGGCTGCTCATAATACTGAACAAGCTCTAATGGTAGCCTAGGGTAAAATGCA